GTACCTTTACTAATCTAAAAAAACAAACCGCAGGGGAGCCAGAGGCCCAGTTGGTTGTCAATTTTAGTGATGTGAAATGTAAAACAAAACTTGAAAGCGTCTCTAGCCCATGGATGAATTCGGCTTGGCATGGGGCAGTGTGGTGGAGACTTTAATGTTGTCTGCAATCACATCAGTCTTTGACTCTCATCCCATCAGCCAAGTAATTGATCAGGAATAAGGAATTGATGTGTCTCAAGACCATTTTACCACTTCACTATGGGTACACCAGCAGGCACCAATAGAGTTGACAATATGACATGGGAGAGGAAAAAAATGTAAGGATGATTTTATCTCTGCAACTTTACCAAGAGAGCTCCGTTATTTACCAATGCAATTCACATTTGTCTGGTAATCATTCCTCTCACTGCCTTCGAGAGAAAGCTGTGAATCCAGGTAAGGAATCATAAACATGTTCCATTCCTTCTTTGGCTGAAAACTGCCCAATGTGAAGATCTGAATTCTCACAAACCCTGCTGATTGAATGAAATGGACCCACGTTGGTTTCCAGAGTTGGCAATGTTCTGCAACTTCTCCCTGACCTTAGATGAATTTACAATCAAACACCGCCTTCTAACTACCAAGATTCTCCCACAGAGAATATTTAATGTTTTTTAGTGAGTAGAATCATATGATATTCAAGCGTGTACGAAGGTTATTAAACCCATCAAGTAATCCCATCAAGTAATCCCATGCTTCTCCTCACTCCCTGTACACGTAGCATTCCTATTTTTAAGCACTTGAGGCAGTTTTGTTGCTGTGAAACATTTTTAAGCTTAGAAAAGCCAAATATCTGCAAGAAGGTGAATGCTCAGTCGTATATTTCTTCAGGAACAACTGTGTTGTTGCTTGACATGTCATGTTCACACCATTAGATTAGATTAGAAGGTGCTTATTTCTGTGGGTTTTGATCTCACTCTTGATGTATTTCAGCACATGGTTTCTTAGGGCAAGTATCATGTAGATAGCATCAAGGCACAACTTGCCAGCAGGGTGCAGATTGGTTAGATGATACTTCCATCTGATGCTTGAGTTTCAAGTCTTCAGGATTTCTTCCCTATGGTTCCTTCTTAGTAAGTTCTTTCAATAAGGGTCTTCGAAGTATGTTTGTTTGAATGTTTGCTTAGTTTATGCATGAAGCGATCATTTTCCCATCACCCGCTGGAGATTCAGGCAGACTGCTTATTATTTTGTGATTTAAAGTGGTTTGACTATGTTTAGCTCCATGTAGCTGTATGGTTTCTTTGAGGTGTATTACATCAGTAATAACTTATACTTGTAAAGCTCTGTTTATATAACAAAAAGTCTCAAAGTGCTTAACAAAGGGATTGGTCTGCAGCGACCAAAAAGAGGAAGAAATGTAGAAGTGAAGGAGGGCATAAGTGCAGAGATAGGTGTTTTCTGAAAGATTATTGAAAGCGAAGAGAGTTGAAGTGAAACAAAATGAATGTGACAGTGGCAGAGGCATGGTTGCTGAAAGGTCAGAAGTTGATTGTGAATTGAAGAGAAGGGAACACGAGCAAGAGTCCAAAGTCAAAAGAGCAGAGAGATGAGGAAATGGGGCTTGCGAAGATCTGATTGGCAGCATGGAGTCTATGGAAGAAACTGTAAATCAGGATCTTGAAACTGATCTGATGATAAATAGCTAGTGGAATTTGGCAAAGTCAATGGAGAGCAGGAGGTGCGACTTTCATTCTTACCAATGTTGAGCTGTCAAAAGTTATGGTTCATCCTTGTCTTGAAGTTGTATGGAGTTGGGAAAGAAAGCCCTGGTATCATGGCTGGTAATGGTGGTGGAGCGAACGTTTAGGTGTTGGCACACAGCTAGAATCTAGCCTAGCGGTTTTAGCTGATGTTACTGTGTTACCAAATGAGGACCGTATGTTAATACATCTTTAACATTGAATTGTATTTGCCAAACCTTGTGGCTTTTTCATTCGGCAACCCATGCGTATGCACCTAGCTGATACAAACCCAAGTGCCCGACTTATAGAAAGTTTGTACAATTGACCATTTAGACAGTCATGCAGCACAAGCCTGAGAAACTTAGACGCATTGTCTGTAAGCTGTTTGAAGACTACTGGAGATCAATGCAACTTGCTCTAGCAATAAAACTTGTGATTTTTTTTAATGTAACGGATGACTATAAAGATAGCATACCAGCAGAAAGCCATCCCAATGTTCTGACATTTTTGTGGCTCTGTTCGCATGTTCCTTGGGACCAAAGTAAAGCTAAGAAGTGAAAGCAGATGTTTGCTTTCTGTTTCACATCACAGGTTGGAAGGTGACATGCCGATGACAAACCACCGGGCAAGTCAGTAGGATCACTTGGCTCTGTTAACTGTACAAGCCATAGCCCTAACATATAGGATGGTTCTAGCTGGACATTCAGCGGCAAGCTTGCCAGACCGTGCTCTCAGTGGAGTCTAACCAGCTGAGGCCGGATAGCTTACCAAGTATCTTAATGGTCAAATTCCAGAAATGAATTTCCAAGTATAGGTGGCATACATAGAACTCTGTCTGGTTTGGATACTCTTAACATGGCGATGGGTTTCTGCATGTGTCAGACACCCGGCAGACCAAACAAAGAGTTTCTGATGTAACATTATGCACTTTCATTTCGAGTTTTGAAACATTGCCATAGCCCTCAAAGAGGTTAATTGTTGTGTTTTGGTTTAAAAGCCTAATTAACAGTTAAGTCAGGTAAATCCATTTAAATGCAATTATACATAACACTGGTCATTAATTTCTTGAGAGTCTGGTAGTATCAGCTAATGTAAATGGTGTAAGTTTTTAAAAAGTGGAGGTGGTTGGCAGTGTTAAAAAAATTCCTTTTGCCTTAGCAAAAAATCTTTAAACGGCTGAATATTTCTTCTTCCCTACCTCAGTTTATTTGTTAGACTACAGTACATGAAAGTGGTCACTTTGACAATGCAATTTTTCTTTCATGTTCATCCTGTTTGCATCTCCAACCGATACTTGCATTGTAGGGTTGCCTCCCTGTGAGAGGATTAGACCATCAATTACTGCTCCCCAAAAGCGGATTTGCGACTCTTTGATGTCCCATCTACTGTTTCTGAAAAATTCTCACCCTTTTTACCATCCCGCTGTTTCCAGACAATATGATTTTTTTTTGTACTTCATTTTTACTGGGGGAAGAGTGTGGTATTCTGGAATGTGCTTTTTTTTCTGCTTTCAACCCTAGTCCTTTTGTCTGTCGAGCTTCTATGCCTGGAACTAAGCGGATAAACGCGTAGGCTACACGTGGTTCCACTTATCGCTAGCCACCAGGAGGCGACAGAGACCGCCCGGCATCTAGATCCTTCCCGCTGAGGTTTTCTTCTCTCTCCTTCACCTCTCGAGCAGAGCGACTCTGCAGCAGTTGCTCAGCACCCCTTTGCCTGCTATGGCTCCTAATGGGACTCCCAACGAGCATTTTGTCCCACTTTGTGACATTGAATATTAGAAAAAAGGAAGAACTGACAATTGTATAGCATTTTCTCATGTCGAAACATCCCAAAGCACTTCACCATTACGTGTTGTCAAGTGTCATGACTATTTTTGAAGGCAAATGTAGCAATCGTTTGCACCAGCAAAGTCGCACAAACAGTTATGAGATGAATTGACCAATTTCTCTGGAAGAGGTTTGGTCAGGGGAGCACCTTCTCTTTTTGAGTGGTGTCACAGGATCTTTAATGTACAGCTGGAACACAGGCAAATGGGACCTCATCTTAACTTCTGCTCAGAACCACTGCTTGTAGTCACATCTTTCAGGTGGGCTGTGTTGCTCCATGCCAGTCATCTGCTTTTGTTAAAAAAAATCAGTCCGATGAATTCTGCTTGTCCAAACCAATTGATCTGTCTGCACTGACGCTCATTCCAACTGAGCCTAGTCATTTTCCTGACTTCTTATACTAACATTCCTACCTACTCAGGCATTTTGTAAATCTGTCATGCGAGCTGCTTCCAGTCTTTGACCTCGTTTCTGTTCCAAATTCCACTGGAATGTTTTGATCAACTATTTTCTTGGCTGCAAAGAAAGTTTCCGACTAAAACATTTTCACATGAAGAAAGGAGCTGAGGATTAGGAATTTGGATTTGAATAAAGTTTCATTGTGTCAATCTTTAAAGATGATTTCTTTCCACCCACCGTGTTCCAGCAGATCACCCTGGCTAGGAGATGGCTCTTGGGACTTTCAAGGATTTGGATCTATCATGCATTCCTTCTCTGGTCCCAGTGCAAATACCCTCTCAGTCCCTCCCCACAAGACAAGTCTGGTACACAGGCTTCGTTCCACTCACTCGTTTGCCAAGAAATATTGAATCAGACTTGCTGCTCCCAACAACCCCCCACCATATCCACCCAACATTATGATAATACATAACTTTTTTTTAAATGATTCAGACCTTTTTATATAAAAAAAACCTGGCTGTCTGATACCACGTATTCTTTTGCCAACTGAATTTATACCAACAATGGAGGGGAATGTCTGGAGGGGATGTGTTAAATGGTAAATTAGCAGAAGAGATGCAGTAGAAAACCAGCCTTTTGCACATGTGTGCTGCCTTTTCTCTCCCCATTTCAGCTTTTTCCTCCAATTCTGCTTATCATTCTCTGGGCATGATAGCAGATATGGTTCCAGCTCCCAGGCCTCTGCCATTCATAATATGATAATAATAATCCTTACATTTGATATGGCACCTTATCACATCTTCAAGACGTCTCACAGAAAATACTGCAAAGTGAATTAACTGCATATTTTGTGAGCAAAACGCAGCAGCCAATTGCACACAGCGGTGTCCCAGAAACAGCTGGGGATTGAGTGACCAAATTTTTTTTTAAGAGATTATTACACCCGGAAAAGCGATCCACCAGTAGACTAACAACCAGGTTCCTACTTACTGCTAGATAAACAGAGGAGTGGGTTAAGAAAATTTACCCAACGTTTTGTTCTGCCCAGGAATCGAACCAGGTCCTCTTGCTTTCGGGAAGAGTGCTCTAACCACTGAGCTACAGGAGTGCACAAACATGATGATATGGTAAAAAGCACATTGTCAACATCCTAAGGTGAGCAACTTGCCAAAATATGTTCTTCTCTCAGACCTTCACTTTGTGCATTCTCCTGTTCTGTGACTATGATCTCAGCTTTGGTGTACAGGCCGTCGTTGATGCTCACTCATGATCTGTAACTCTGTGTTCTGCTCTTTTGTTGTGCCCCCAATCCCCTCCCAGACCCTCCCATTCTTTTCTGAATGTAGAATTAACTTGTGTGGGATATTGCTCTACAGGCGCCATGCGACTCTCCAGTATCTCACTTGAGTGTGCTTTCTAGACAGTGAGTGATGGTCCTATTTAACTTTGAGGTGGGAGGAAGCGTATGGCCTGTCTATCTTATACTCATTGGTGGTGACTAGAAAATAGTCAGGGAGATTTTGCTGTTTCTTTTTCCTCCTCTAACCCAGGGCTAATTGTGCAACCTCACATGCTGCCTTAGCTGAGAACTGCACAAATGAGAGACTGAATGTAAGATCTTCTTGATTCTCTAAAGGTGAGGTCCACACAAGCCATTGCATGTATATTCTGAGCCACCATGAGAATTCAGCACTTTTTATTTCAATAGCATCTATGGAATGAAAATTGTGATGTTATGAACATAACACATATGGTGCTACATCACACATTCATTGATATTTAAGGCATTAACTGTTCCCAGGCAAGCGGGAGATGAACTTGTCCCTCTCCTAATATAATTCTCAGTGGCCACATCAGCAAACCAGCCTCACACATAATAATAATCTAATAATAATAATCGTTGCATTTGATGTAGTGCTTTTCACATCTCAAAGGGCTTCACAGAATATACTGTAAAGTGAATTAACTGTATATATGTGGGTGAAACACCGCAACCAATTGTGCACAACAGTGTCACACAAACAATCGTGTCATCAGGGCAGTGGAGGTCTGCCTTCAATACACAAATTATTATTATTACTTTTTATTTGAGAGATTATTATCCCCGGAAAAGCAATCCGCCAATTGATTAACAACCGGGTTCCTACTTACTGCTAGGTAATCAGAAGTGTGTGGAGTTAGGAAACTTAGCCAACGTTTTGCCCTGCCGGGAATCAAACCCAGGTCTCTTGCTTGTGAGGCTAGTGCTCTAACCACTGAGCTACAGGACTCTGCATGTTAGGTTTGCATTGGATTATCTTGTTAACATTGTTAACATTATTACTGTCAAGCAGACAAATGCTGAGATCCACGAGTTAAACTCCAATGGATGGTGTGGCTGTCTTCTTGACACAGCCTTTGAGATTGGATTCAGGGCAGTGGAGGTCTGCCTTCAATACACAATCCATGTGTTAAACATCAGAAGGTCATTGAACTCAATCCATGACCCTTAGCACATCAAAGCATCACAATTGTTGGCTCGTAGGCCTTTCATTCCATCTAGTGTTTTCCTGTACAACTACTTTGTCTTATAAAGGACTAATAATTCTTGCATTTGATGTAGTGCCTATAGAGATGTCTCAAAATGCTTCACAGAATATGCTGTAAAGTGAATTGACTTGTCTATTTCGTGGAGGAATACCGCAGCCAATTGCGCAAGTGGTGTCCCACAAACAGTCAAGGATTGACTGGCTATCAAATTAAGGTTGAGTTTAAAAATTATCTGCCCCCCCCACCCAATTCTTAACAATCTTAAATTTTAAGACAAATTGTTTTTCTAAGTTATCACTAGGTATCATTTTCTAACACCTTGTTATTGTTAAACAGCAAGGAATGTTTGAACTAATCCAAATATGGACTTCTTTTATGTTACATTTATATCAGACTGTAAATCTTCTAACACGTTCTTGACCTGCAGTTCCAGCAGTGTATTGTCCACACAGGCACATTAAGTGCTCCCAAGGTAGCTCCTGGCTTAATTTGTCAGAATTTCGATCAGTTATCTTTGAAAACATTTTTGCTATTGTTTCCTTATGAAAGTCGATTGTAAATAATGTTCCTGATTGAATTCAAGAAGAATCCTTTTGCTGTCCTTTAAAGTGAAGAGTATTAAAATTGGAGAATGGTCAATGTCATACTTTTGTACTCAGCTGAAATCTGTCTCTCAAAATTTCTTCCAATGAATGTTGCTGAGCACTCATTCTCTCTCAAACTTTCTACCCTCATGATAATGATGCTTCTCTTTGTTTCAAAGAGATAGCACAGGGCGCTCTAAGTATTAGTTTGGTAGCATTCTTGCTTCTGGGTCAAAGATGATGTGCTATCTCAGGACTTGAGCTCACAGCTCAGTACTGGAAGAGCACTGCCTTGTCAGAGATACAATTGCTTTACATGTAGCGTTGAACAGATGTCTTCTCTGCCTGGCATCAAATACATGTTAAAGATGCCAATGATATTATTCAAGAACAGAAAAGAGTTTCTCCTGGTGTCCTGGCCAACATTTCTTCAGATAAATTGGTATTTCATCGAATGACTGTTTGGAAGACTTTGCTGCTGTCTTCATTTTCAAAAATCAGTTGTGACATATGACTGGAATTAATGTAAATCATTTTTGAGATGTTTCTACATACAAGACAAACCAAAAGACAAACAAATTGCATTTATATAGCGCCTTTCATGTTGAGAGGACATCCCAAGACATGGACGTCAAGGCTTTGCACCCAAGCTAGAGGTTATGGCAGAGACAATAAAAATACAGTACGTTCTAATCTTCACTTCTTGAATCTCAGGTATCTACAAAATCAAAGTAACATCATGCAACATTTGTTTTGGATTCTTGTCCATTGTTGCTATGATGGAGACAGCTGGATATTCTCTGCTACCCTGAGCTGCCATCAGTGAGCATAGACATTCATTTTTCCTGGGCAGCAGTTCAATTTGAGCTTGCAGAGATTAACAAACTGCTTTAAAAGGAGTTTCTCTGCCAAATTCACCCAAGCTGTTACACTTGTATGTTTTAATTAATGGTTTCTCTCCGTAATTTAGTTGGTAATTTAGATAATGCACTGATCTTTAAAGTGACTACGTAATCACAATGGATATGTAGTGACACAATTAAAACCCAAACATACAGACTACACTAATCATTGTTCAGTCTTTGAGAATTAAGTATTCTGTGTTCTATAATCATATGTATGCCAGTGTAATTGTCCCACGTCACAGTATGTACTGTATTTCAAAGTCAAGTCTTGGGTGTCTTGTAGCTGTGACATTGAGAATGGTGTGGATTCTGTTCAAAGAGAAGTACCTTCAGTCCACAGCTTTATACTCCACAGTGGAGTCCTGTAGCTCAGTGGTTAGAGCGCTCGCCTCTCAAGCGAGAGACCTGGGTTCGATTCCCAGCAGGGGAAAACCTTGGGCAAGTTTCCTTACTCCACACGCCTAATAATAATCCCTCAAGAAAAAAAAACAATAATAAATTGGTCACTTCAATCCACGACTGTTTGTGGGACACCGCTGTGCGCCATTTGGCTGCCGTATTTTGCTCACAAATATATAGTCAATTCACCTTACAGTATATTCTGTGAAGCGCTTTGAGACGTCTAGAAAACGTGAAAAGCGCTATATCAAATGCAAGGATTATTATTATAAACAAATGCAGATATTGTTTTGGGGTTCCTGAGCAACTGTAAAGATGAACATATAGTCATTTTTATATATATATATATTTATAAATATATATTTTTATATTTCTTGGCAATTGATTTGGCCTGAAAGCTGAAGAATTGTGCTGTAATATTTAAAATGTATTTTGCACTCATGTGTAAGTAATTTTGAAATTTACTGTGAGTCATGCCTTATTGTGAGACATCTGTGCTAAACACAGTACTGCCTAAAAGTGAGACACGTATTGTATGTACTGTCTTATAATTGAATATCTATTTTTAAGAAAATCTCATGGTGATATCTATTGTAAATGATTTGGTGAGACATGGTAAGTACAGTACTGTCTTAGAGTACAGTACTGTCTTACAGTACTGACTTAGACCTTTAGCAAGCGGGGCCTTAGAGTGAGGTACCTTTAGCAAGCGGGGTCTTAGAGTGAGACAATAGTAAGTACTGCCTTGGGTCTGAAATGCTGTACTCTGTCCAGCGCCTTGGGACGTCCTCCCGATGTGAACGGCGCTATACAAATGTAATCTTGTTGTTGTTGCCTCATGCAATGCTCAGGAGAGGCACCTTGCTGATAAGAGCTGCTATACAATCAAATTATGCCCCAGCTGGCAGGTCCTGATGAAAGCTGATTAGTTTCACAACAGCCCTTAGCTTCACAGTTCGTTTTAGACTCATTTGGGGTTTTGTATGTGATCTTTCCAATTGATTACAATTAATCTCTTGTTGATCCATACCTTATCATTGCTACCAGTTGAGTTTGAGATGCTTAACGTGTAGTACACAATGCACGTCATTATCAAATCTGACTGCAGAATCTGCCAATAACTCCCAATCTTGTGGAATTCTGTAGCTCAGTGGTTAGAGCACTCGCCATGCAAGCGAGAAACCTGGATTCGATTCCCGGCAGGGCAAAATGTTGGACAAGTTTCCTTACTCCACACGCCTCTGTTTATCTAGCAGGAAGTAGGAACCCAGTTGTTAATCGATTGGTGGATTGTTTTTCCGGGGGTAATAATTCCTTAAAACAAATTGGTCATTTTAATCCACGACTGTTTGTGGGACACTGCTGTGTGCAATTGGCTGCCGTGTTTTGCCCACAAAATATACAGTCAGTTCACTTTACAGTATATTCTATGAAGCGTTTTGAGTATGTTGAAGACGTGATAAGGCGCTGTATCAAATGCAAGGATTATTCTTGTTAGTCCTGTCTGATTGCCTGCCCAGGGAATTTATATCTGATGTGGTGATGACCCATTTAAGTGTCAAGAGGAATGATGTTTGGATTTTGGTTTACAAGGCTTGGTATGTACTATAAAGAATGTGGACTAATAAGGAATTCACAATTTGTGGTTTGTCACGGTGAGTTGGGCCGAACAGATGAAGGAAATGTATTGTGAAGTAAACACCATCCGAAACAAGTACATGCATGCAAGCAGGGAAAG